TGGTAGAGAAAGCAAAGCTAACTAGCTCTAAACTAGAATGAAAGTCATTTTGAAATGGGTAAGGGGGTACATAAGGGGAATGATTGAGTCACATGTAAAAGCCTTTGTATGCCCAGTGCTAGTGTTTTTCTGAAATTCAGTGAGAATCACAAGGTACCAGAAATAATCAAATATTAATAAGTATTAATACACTACTGGGATAGACGTATCTCAGTGTACTAGCATTCACTAAGCTGTAAAATCTTTGACAGCAGGAATATTAAATTATGAACAACCTGGTTTATCTATCTCCTCTTATCTTTTACCTCTCTCTACCCCCAAAATTCTCCTTGGGTTATCCAGACATTTTTACTAAGAGGCTTATTTATATGTAAGAGAAATTTCCAGTAGACATAACAAAACACAAGAAATTACCTGTTCTGTTTATTCTTGCTCATGTAGGATAAAGGTCCTGAGACCTCTCAGAATCTTAAGAGGTTGGAGAGTTGTTTGGAATGCTGGGTTCTGGTCTTTTCTCTGCTTCCAACTAGCTATGGAATCTTGTGTATTCTTTCAGTCTTACATCGCTCATCTGTTATCTAAAGATGGACTAAATTATTCCTTCCTGCTGTGGTATTCTGTGGCTCTCATCAAATAGAAATAACATATTTAAAAGTGCTTTGTAAATGTTATGATACTCAGGATTATACTCTACAGGGGGAAAAAAAAAATCGTAAGGCAGCACCAACAAAGGTATTCAACGTAGCTAGTGGTCTTTTACAGCATTACTTTGCCTGTATTCATTTTGAAGACCTGAAATGAAGTTAAACTACAAATTGCTCTAAAATTTGTGAAGCAGGGTGAAAAGGTCTTTGCTTTGTTTTAAATTTAAATCCAGCTATTTTCTGCTTATACTAGTGATTTTTCATGGCAAAAAGAAAAGTTCCCTTCTGCAGTCTCCAGTGTCTTCTGACCTCACAGAAATGTCTTCATGCTTTTACCTAGCAGGACCACCAGAGGCTCTGTCACACTTGCAGTCCCTGGCCCAACACCGAAATCCTGCTGGAATCTGTGCTCCGGGGGCTGTGCCGGGTAGAGAGGGCAGTGGGAGGTAAGAGCTCTTCACCCTTCACCACCTTCTCCACCCAGCATGGCCGGCACACTTTGGTCTACGGCACATCTCCAAGTATAGAGTGGGTTTTGAATGTTGTTATGTCTCACTGTGGGGATGGGAAGGAATACTCTGATTTGGACTATTTGGGGGTACATGTGAGTGGATTTTATTATCAGAGTAGGAGCTGTTTCAAGTGAACATGTCTTTTATGTTGCTTTTAAGACAACTTTTATGCCGCTTTTATCCATTCTTCCTTTTATCCACAGAAATACAAATTTCTAATTATAGTGTATTTTTTCTATTTTTAAAATTGTGATAAAGCATATATAACATAAAATTTGCCATCTTAAGTATACAGTTCAGTGGCATTAAGTACATTCACACTGTTGCACAGCCATCACGATCATCCACTTACAGAACTTTTTTCATCTTCCTGAACTGAAGCTCTATACGTGTTAAACAATAACTCCTCATGCCCCGTCTTCTTTCAGCCCCTGGTAACCAGCATTTTCCTTTGTCTCTATGAATTTGACTATTTTAGATACCTCATATAAGTAGAATCATAGTATTTGTCCTTTTATATCAATCATATTGTATTTTTGTCTAAAAAAGGAAAACTTTCAGATTTATGTGAAATGTAATGTAATTTACATTGGATTTATTGTAAGTAATGTCTCTTTAATCGTGCTATACTAGGGAAGTACATTATAGTCTCTCCCTCTAAGAATATGAAGAGGAAATTTTGCCTTCAACAAACAAGCAAACTTAGTTATGTTTTTGTGATTTTATGCTATTTTCATATTCTATTTTGAGATCTATTTGTCTTAGCTTGGAGATGGTTTTGTTAAATGTCCATGATTTAGAGATGGCATAATGAAAAAATAACCAAGAATTTGGTTGGGAATGGGAGGAGCCTAGAAGAACGAGAAATTGGCTTTGATTTTATAGTGTATGGTGGGCTGTTGGTAGCTGGACGTCACCACAGGCTTTGAATTCAGAAGACCTGTTTTGGAGTTCTAGTTCTGCTACTGCCTAGCACTGTGATCTTGATGAAGATACTCTTCCTCCCTGGGCTTCAGTTTTCTATCTATAAATTGCTAGTGATGGGGCTGGAATATTTTGAAGTTCGTTCTAACTTTAGCAGTCTTAAGAATTAAGGTTGCAGTGCCAGAAAATAGGGTTAAATATTTGTTTCTGATCTGTTTGCCAAAAAAAAACTTGATGGCTTAAAGTAAATAAAAATTCAACAGTATAGTGTAAATTTAAAATGAGGCAAAAGGAGAAAGATAATGACAGCAGAATATATGACTTACTTTTTATTTTAATCTTACAGCTGTTTTATATAAGAACTTTTCATGAATACAATCAAAATGTCCATGAGATAAAAATAAGCTATTTATGAAGGAAAAGTACAAATGCACTTTTTCTCTAGCTCTAACATGTAAGGTTTGGGAATAATCGTTGGCCTGACAAACAGTTAAGCTAGGGTAAGGGTGAATGCCTCTTCTGGAAGCCTATCAAGAGCATCAAAGTGAAGTCCTCTTACCTTTAATCACGGGAGAGCCCAGTCTGGACCAAGAGTTTGAGAAAATTATTTTGACTTTGTTCTAAGGTAATAGGTGAATGGGTGCTCAAGGGCCCCTGTTGCATTTCATGTAGACTTGCCAGAAGAGTTTTAGCTTGAAAACATCATAAGATGAATATAGGCAGATCCCAACCTCAGTAAAAAACAGCTATATAATGTTGCTTTAAGTGCTACTGTCTTATCCTCTATCCTCCAAGATGAACGCTTTACATAAAGTTTGTACAAGGTGGCTTGTGTGAGTTTGTTTATAAACCAGTTAAAAGTTGGGATATCCACCAGCTATCCCAAAAGAAGGGGACTAAATACAACCCTGTTTTAGTCTGCTAGAGACTTGTCTTCTGACGGAAGACCTGTCCCACTGGCTCTGCTTCTGTACTAGTACTATAAGGCAGGTTCTGTGTGAACATTAATAACCAAGGATCCTGAGTTAGACTTATAGTTGGGTCGATAACCAATTTGTACCTAGATTGAAAGACCAAGGAAAAGTTAATAAAATAAGCAACAATCTAGTACTATGTGAGGGAAAGTAGGGCTGTCCTATATGGAGATGGAATAAATGGGATAAATTATGTTTGGGGCCTGAATAGACAAGAGCATAGCTGTATAGTGAGGGTTCTTAACCTGGGGCTTCAGAGCTCCATGAGTCTACAAAGAGACTATTTGATATGCTAGTTTTCTTTGTAATTCTCTGAATTTAATTTTATGTGTTTAAAAATATGATGAAAAGAGGTACATGGTTTCATCAGACTGCTGGAAGGATCCATGATACAAAACAGGTTCAGAACTCCTGTATGTTGAGTTAAAGTGAACAGGTTGGTAATGGTTGCAGCATGATATTCAGAGTAGTTCCTGAACAGCTCTTGAGTATGAGAAGTCTTTCCCAGGTTTTTTGTTTTGTTTTGATTTTTTTGAGATGGAATCTCACTCTGTCGCCCAGGCTGGAAGTGCAGTGGCATGATCTTGGCTCACTGCAACCTCTGCCTCCTGGGTTCAGGTGATTCTCCTGCCTCAGCCTCCTGAATAGCTGGGATTACAGGCATGCCCCACAACGCCTGGCTAATTTTTGTATTTTTAGTAGAGATGGGGTTTTGCCCTGTTGGCCAGGCTGGTCTCGAACCCCTGACCTCAGGTGATCCATCTGCCTTGGCCTCCCAAAGTGCTAGGGTTACAGGTGTGAGCTACTGTGCCTGGCCAGGTTTGTTCTTTGGCTTGTTTTTTCATCAGCAGTAGCCAGAGTAGTTTCTCGGATAATTCTCCCAAGCTGCTTTCTTTTTAGGAAATCAGAAAGACTATTAAATGAATTTAACTATTAAATGAACTAATTTAGCTACAAATTTGTTCTTGTGTATTTCAAGCTTATATGGCTCTCTAGTATTAATATTGCTAGTAGCAGCCTAAGTGTGAGTGGGTGTTTCTGGCAAGGAGCAATTTCCATTTTAATTGACATTTTCTTCTATGTACTAAATTTTGGATGCCAAGAGCTTTCCTCACTGGTAGTTGTAAATGCTAAATCTATATACCTAACTTCATCACCTTCTGTCAAGATAAATGCAAACTGCATTTCCCCTCAAAGGAGTTCAAAGGAAAACTTGTTGGCGTGTTTGGGGAGATGTTGTTTTCATCCACCATCACATGGACCCAGCTGCAAAGATTTTCAGTGCCTAAAACAAGCTCACCTGTCTTGGTTCTTCTGAAACATGTAGCAGTTGAAATGAAAGTTTAGAATTGTTCCCTTGTTCCAAATTCTATGACAGAGAAGCGGCAGCAGCACAATAATTAACACTCTAAATAAGAGTATTTGATGTCCTCTAAGTTTATTCAGAAAGTATCTTCTGTAGCTAAGAAACATTTGTAGAGATAAAGGTCTGTTTGATAGGGGCAGAGGGATAATCTTTGCTTAATAAAGATGATTGTTTTGGGATGTGTGCCTTAGAAACTAACAAACTCGCATCTTCTATCCAGTGATCCAGATCTCTGAGCTAAGGCACATAGAGGTCTGTTAGTAAAAAGGGAATGGCAGGTTTATTTAGGTTTGGTTAATACTAGTTTTTTACAGACTATAGGAAGCCTTGCTATTTTGCTTGGAATAGTTTGTTGCAGTAGTTTATTCTAAAAACCAGGTGTTGAATTTAATATATGGCAGCTTTTATATAGGATTTATTTCTGTGACCCTAAACACAAGCAGTTTTCTTTTTTCTTTTTTTTGAGACAGATTCTAGCTCTGTTGCCCAGGTTGGAGTGCAGTGGCGTGACCTTGGCTCACTGCAACCTCTACCTCCTGGGTTCAAGCAATTATCTTGCCTCAGCCTCCTGAGTAGCTGGGATTACAGGCGCCTGCCACCATGCCCAGCTAATTTTTGTATTTTTGGTAGAGACAGGGTTTCACTGTGTTGGCCAGACTGGTTTCAAACTCCTGATCTCATGATCCGCCCACCTCAGCCTCCCAACATGCTGGGATTACAAGCGTGAGCCACTGCGCCCGGCCTGCACAAGCAGTTTTTACGTGCCTTCCCTTCAGTTATGTTCGTGCTCCTCAGAATAACCCTGTGAAGTAGGCAGGGAAGTCGTCTTCATTTTATAGTTGAAAGACTCACGACTCAAAAATAAAGTATTCACATTTTTGTATTAAGTTGGAAAACCAGTACTGGAACCTGGGAGGTCTTCTAACTACTGGCCTGTGCTCTTTAAGCTGCACTAGCTATCCCACTTTGAAAAGAATGTATGAAACACAGTTGCAGTCATGTATACTTCATCTCCAAAGAATGGATTCATTCTTCATGTCATAGTATATTGACTATAATCTGCTGTTTTTAATTACCCAGATTCCAAGCCTGTTTATAGAATTTATACCTGAGGAATGGTGAGGATTAGAAGAGGCCACAGTCCTTGAGGTTTTCTTTGATGATAATATCTGTAACTGCATCAAACACAAATTTGACATTCTGTGTATCTGTAGCACAGGTCATGTGACTGTAGATTTCTTTGACATCTTTTCGCATATTGAGGTCAAGGAACTGGCTCTTGATGTAATTCCCCGCATCATCATAGGAGTTGTTACCTGGTTTTCCAGAAAAATAGTGAAAAAGTAGAATAAATGAACCCTTGTTAGTTGCTGACTCACTTTAGGTGATTGACTTGATCCTTAAAATGTAGACAACAGCAGCTGGGGGCCCGTTTTTGGAGGGAAGGTTCTCGATTACACTCCAATGTTTCTCACTTTAGTTGAAAAGAAATTGAGGAGAGGTGTCTCTCCACCTTTGGTTTTTAGTAGGTATCATATGAAGTCAGTGGCTCTCCTGCATCTAATCGCTGCTGTATTCCAGAGAATCTGAATTTAAACCCTGTAACTGTGCCCAAGGTTTTCCCTTAAGTTCTTTATGTCACCTTAGCCTAAAAAATGAGACAATTGCCAGTCACTACTAAAAGGCATTATTATTATTTCCAGCCCCTGACACTTACCATCATACTCTGGAAAACAAATGCTGAGATGGACTTTCTTGATTTTTTCCTCAAAGAGATCCTTCTTGTTGAGAAAGAGGACGATGGAAGTAGCCGCAAAGAACTTGTGGTTACATATGCTGTTGAACAGATGCAAAGACTCATGCATACGATTCTAGTAAGAGGAAACACCATTGGAAATATCAGATTTGGCTTACGAATAGCTACCTACTTCCTGCTCTTGTTCCCCTTGGAGAGACCAGTGCTCCAAATGTAAAAAGCAAGACACAGAACAGCTTATCTCTTTTTAATGTACCAGAGTAAAGCCAGAGAGATGTGGGTTCGTTCTAGTTCCCTGTCTTTTTAATAGCTGTGTGACTTGTGGAAAATTATTGAGCTTTTTCTGAGTCTGTTTTCCTGTCTTATAGGGTTATAATGAAAGCTAAATGAGATTGTATATGTATTGTGTCCATGATAGTGGCTGGCATATAGGTCTATAATATGTGTTATGCAGATCTTTAGCAGCCAGGGTGCAACTGAGAACTTGACATTTTATAAGTAGTGCTGATAATGGGTTGAAACAGGCCCAAGTTAGCATGTGCCCATATGCATCTCCAGGATGATTTTGATAGGCTTCTTTCATGGGGTCCCAGATCTCAGTTTGGGCTACTTTGGTCCTGTTGCCACATGGTGAGGGTTGGAGAATTTCCCAGTGCCATACCACAAGCATTTCTGCTCTCTCATTTCCTTCTCTGATTGCTACTTAGAGAGCGAGAAGTCGTGCTATATATCTGCAGAGGCTGCCCATTGCCCCAGCCCAGCCTGCTTTTAGGGAGCAGGTCTTTAGGATTTTGAAGTATGCTATCAGTTGACTAGAGTTCAGTCTACTTATCTAATAAAACAAGAACAATCTCATTTGTGGCTTTTCCCCCCATAATACTCCTGTACAACTCTTTAAGGGTCTTACAGACTTGGTTTATAGACTTTAGGGTTAAAGATGGAAAGTCTCTTATACTTTAATCTTTAGGGTTAAAGATGGGAAGTGAATAGCTCTGTAAGCCATCTTGGTTAGATGATATTCAGAGTGCCCTAATGTGAAGTTAAAACTACAAGGGGAAGGGAAGAGAACAAGCTGTGGCAAGGGATAGGAGTATCCCTTTCATCAGCAAGCTGTGGACCTCCATTTGTAAGCAGATGCTTGGGTGAAATTAACGTTTTTCACGCCTCTAACCTTTCTCACTTCAGAGAAGGTAACTGGCTGGGCTCTTAACACTTGTGCTGTAGAACTCGTGTCCTACAGAATTCTACAGGCTAAAGAGAACCACTCTTGGGTAGTCTTCCAGCTGCCAATTTAATTGGCATGAGAGCTGGTCTGCCAGTCTCTCCTTACTCCTATGGACAGTACATTTTTAGCCTTCTAAGTGGGGTTACTAGTTCAACCCCTCTATTATGTTGCAATGAAGATTCATATATGCTATTTTCTCTGTTCTATCATTTTCATCTCCTTCCTTAGGCAACTTGGGAGAGTACTAAGTGTAACTCCTTTGCTTTGCCTAGTTGATGGTCCCTTATCTCTTTACATTCAATTCCTCTTACGAGCTTTGTGATGTCCAAGTGATACTTCGATGTCTAATTTGAGACCAAGCTCACTCTCAGTAAATTTGGAGCTCTAAAATGCTAACCTAGAACCTGCAGAAGAAGTTGTTTTTCTAGAATTATTTGCATGAGACATTGATTGGTCTGCTAGACTGAAATTACCTAAGTTGGGCAGTAGAGTGACACAAGACTTAGAGAAAGGCTCACGGGGAGAACTTGTTCTACCAAAGCTGCTTGGTGCAAGGGCCACTCACCACTTCGTCATCTTCCACCAGCACCATATCATAGGCACTGAGGGCTGCACAGAAAATGATGCAGGTGACTCCCTCGAAGCAGTGGATCCACTTCTTTCTCTCTGATCTCTGCCCTCCCACATCAAACATCCTGAGGGAAGAAGCAGCTATTTTCATAGGTATGCCCAGCATCTGACCCATAGGCCTTTGACGTTCACCCCATGAAGTGGGAGAGGAAAAGGGGGAGAAGCAGAACAGTAATTTAGATTAGGCTTCACCAAAGGCCAAGAGGCCTGCCTGTGCCCCTTTTCGGGATTTCACACGTGTATCCGAGGTGCCCCAGGGAACCATGCACTTACCTGAAATTCAAGTCTTTGACAGAAAACTTGGTTTCAATGATGCCCGTGGTTTTGACTCTGGATCGGAGCACATCTTGCTCACTAGGGAGGTACTCAGGGTCTGTGATTCGTTCTAATTGGTTCAGGTAGCTAGAGAAAAGTGATTAGCATCAGTGACAAATTTTCCACAGATAAGGCTAAGAGATGTAAAAGGTATCTTACCCAAAGTCACACAGCTAATTTGGTGATAGAAAGCAGGACTAGAAGCCATACTGTTAAATTTAGGATTCTTTCCTTTAAACCTTCATAAGTCATTAACTAGAGGAAATGGGGGATGGACTGAGGAACAAGCCCACTTGTGGCTGGGGTTCCAGCACATTTAAATCAAGTTAGGTAAGTTTTCCTTGGGTTTCCCCTGACTGCAAGCTTTTGTAGATTTTGGAATGAGATTTAGTGGTTTCAGTGGGTGCTAAAAGTTCCATCAAGAGGCAGTAAATTGAAAGAGACTTTAGAGACATGAACCAATGCAACACATGGACTTTGTTTATATCCTGAATCAAACTGGGGAGGAAACATTTGAGATAACCGGGGAAATTTGAACACCAATTTGGTGATATTTGATGCTATTAAAGAATTGTTAACTATTTGGGTGTGATTATATTCTTTTTATAAAAAGGGTCAATATTTTAGAGATTCATAATGACATTTTTAGCATGAAATGGTACCTGGAATTTGCTTCAGAATAATCCAGTAGGGAATGGAGGTAAAATGAAATAAGATTGGCCATGAGTTGATAACTGTTGAGGGGTAATTCATTATATTATTTCTACTTTCGTATATGTTTGAAAGTTACCATAAAAAAGAAAAAGTTAGTTTTTTAAAAGAAAAGGCAGGAGGAAGGCAGATGTGAACTGAGATGACTGAGAGGAGGAGGGAAGCACAAGTAACACAAGTGCCTGCTGTATGCCAGGCATTTTAATGTGCAGATTCTCGTTTAAACTCCTAAGCCATCAAGTTTCATATCCCCATTTTACAGATGGAGAAATTCAGGAGAATTAAAGACTTGGCTAGGGTCAAGAGAAATTGTGGTGTATTATGAAAAATATTCAGCTTTGTAGTCAAGCAGCCCAATGCAAATGCAGTCTCTGCCATTTATCTACATGACCTTGGGCAGTTGATTAACTTCTCTGAACTTCAGTTTTTCATGTGTAAAATGAGGCTAATTAGAAAGGTACCATCTACCTTAAAGTCTTATTGTGGCCGGGCGCAGTGGCTCAAGCCTGTAATCCCAGCACTTTGGGAGGCCGAGGCGGGTGGATCACGAGGTCAGGAGATCGAGACCATCCTGGCTAACATGGTGAAACCCCGTCTCTACTAAAAATACAAAAAACTAGCCGGGCGTGGTGGCGGGCGCCTGTAGTCCCAGCTACTCGGAGGCTGAGGCGGGAGAATGGCGTGAACCCGGGAGGTGGAGCTTGCAGTGAGCCGAGATCGCGCCACTGCACTCCAGCCTGGGCGACAGAGCGAGACTCCAAAAAAAAAAAAAAAAAAAGTCTTATTGTGTAGATGGGTAAAGGGCCTTGAGATGATATACACAGCACACCTAGCAGTGACTGGGCTTTGAGTGCTCCAGGAACAGTAAGTGATAGCATTATTACAAGATTAGGAGACAGATGGTTAGGTTAAATAAACTCAGGTTTGACTTCAAAGTCCATACTTTTCTATGATCCCATACTGTCTGAGGTAGGATTGATAAATTATGTCCCTTATCTTTTTGGAAGCAGTTTTGCAATGATGGTACTAATTCCTGACCACCTTCCTTTGGTTTGCCCTCGTAGTTTGTGTCCCCTACCTTGGCATCCTGACATAAGATGCTCCAGGTGTAGGAGACTCATTTCTGCTTAGTGGCCTAAGTAGATCTTAGACTACCAGATAGAAAATTCTGCCCTGAAAGAGCCATCATGAATCACATTACTCCTGGGAGAGTGTATGACAGAACTGCAGGGCTATCTTAGGGTTCTGGAAGGAGAGGCTCAGTGTACACCTCAAGAGAACAGGGCTGAGGGCTATGAGGCAGAGCACCTCTTTTGAATTTTGCATCTTTAGCCTTGTAGGCTGTAGTGAGCCAGTGTAAAGCAATATAAAATAGTGACAACTGTGGCAGATCTCCCCATAGCATTAAATTCAAAACATTGCTGAAGCCTAACAAAACAGATCCACAGGCCGAATTCAGTCTGGGTCTCCAGCTTTCAATGCCTGAAATTTTGGGTTGGGTGAAATTTCTCCCAACCAGAGAGAAGACTGGCTAGAAGATTGCTTAAGCATCAACCCACCCTCTCCCCAGTCAAGAGTCTTACTAAGATGCGGAGTCATTGAGCTGGTATTCTGCAGCTCTCTCGAAGCAGGCTTGCACCCCGCCATCCTTCCACAACCTCCTAATGACCTCCACCAGCTCTGGAGGCATGGTTCCCTCCTCAATGGAGTCAGCCAGGTTGTTGAGCTGTCGCCCATCGTCCTGTAATGCAGAAACCTGGTTAAGAACTTCACAGGAGTAATAGCTTTCCAAGAGGCTTCTGGGAAGACTGCTGAATGGAGCATTTTACATTACTACAAAGACCTAAGATGGAAGCAATCTGCAGTGAAGATTCTATGTAAGAAAACTACTGATTAATTTTTGAGTATGCTCCCCAGATGCAGAGGGTGGCACTATACCCAGCCCTGGGATGTGTCTAAAGCAGGGCAGGTGTCCCAGGTATTTCCTCTCTGGAGTTTCTGGCTTCCATCCTTAGTCTGAAAGTTTACTGCCACAAAACGTGGGTCCTCTGCTGCAGAGAGACTAGGAATGTAAAGGCCAGATTGACCATGAAATAGACAAGATAGAAGACATGGACCCATCACCTTTGTTCTTCAGTGATTTAAAGCTAGAAAAAGGCCAGCACTAGAAGTAGGGATTTCACTTACAAAAGTTCCATGGCCAGGAACCCAAGGGTAGCAATTTAAATGTAAAGTAAAAAAGCAGAGGAGGCTGTGAGCAGCTTTATTTTGTAAATATTTCTTATAAAGTAGGGCTTGAGGCCAGGCACGGTGGCTCACGCCTGTAATCCCAACACCTTGGGAGTCTGAGGCAAGAGGAGTGCTTAAGGCCAGGAGTTTGACAAAAAAAAAAAAAAAATAGCTGGGCGTGGTGGTGCACACCTGTGGTCCCACCTACTGGGGCTGAGGTGGGAGAATCACTTAAGCCTGGGAGGGTGAGATTGCAGTGAGCCATGATCACACCACTGCATTTCAGCTTGGGCGAGAGAGCAAGACCCTGTCCCAGTAAAAATAAAGGTGGAGGTTGCTTACTTCTCCAGGACTGCATTAAGAGATTTGAAATTCAGCAGGTGGGATTTTAGTTACTCTTTTTCTTACTCATCTTTCCATATAGTTTGTATGTTTCTTCTAGTCTTTCTGCTTCCACCCTTAACCACATAATAGTAACCACATACCGCACAGCTTGATTCAGCATAGTCGATGCCCAGTGTGGTCATGGCCCGGATGATAGCCAGGATGGACTGCAGCACATTTCCATAGATGATAGCCTTGAACTCCAGGCATTCTTCTGGTGAATAGCCATCCTGGTGAATGATCCTGCAAGGGGCAGACACTCTGTCTTTAGTTGGACCTCAGTAACCAGACCTAAGGGATTAGGAATTTGGGGGTATTTAAGGGGTCATAAGAATCCTATCTCTCTGTTGCTACTGCTTTCTCAAAGCGGAGGGTGGGGGCAAGAGGTACAGATGAGGGGCATTGGAATCAGATCCTTTATACCTGGGCTCCTTGAGGCTAAAGAGCCTTTCACTTTGAATACCTCCACTGGCTGACTTCTTCACCCTATCCCAGTGCTTTGGGGCTTTGTTGCTACTCACTTCATCTGTTTGACGATGGTGCTCTTTCCTGACTCCCCAGCACCTGGAAGGAAAAATGCTTGTGCTTTCGATTTCCACCAGTTCTCCCCAGCCTTCCAGGAGATGGCTTGGGAGAAGTCAGAGCCACTGCTTGCTTGGGGGTCTTGTTAGAGGAGAATATATAGGGATGACTGCTGCCCTCAATTTCTGGCAGGCTTGAGCTTAGGCCATTCACCCTGGATTTAGAGCAGTTTCTTAATTTCAGTACTAGTTAGTTTGGGCTGTCTCATGCATGGTAGGATGTTTAGCAGCATTCCTGGCCTCTACCCACTAGAGGCCAATAGCACCCCACTTCCCTAGTTATGACAACCAAAAGTGTCTCCAGACATTTCCAAATGACTGCTGGGAGTCAAAATCTCCCAGATGTAACAGATACAGGGGGAGTCCTTTAACATTTCTCCTCTGTGCCTATTTTTGACTCAGGAGAGTGATCTTGGGGTAAGATTGGAGAGAGCTGGATCATTTCACCAAAATACTATATTTTCATCACCTTGCCGGTTCCCTTTTTTTTTGAGACAGGGTCTCAGGTTTATAGCCCAGGCTGGAGTGTCATGGCAGGATCTCGGCTTACTGCAGCCTTGACTTCCCAGGCTCAAGTGATCCTCCTACCTCAATCTCCTGAGTAGTTGGGATTCCAGGCGTGTGACATCATGCCCGGCTACATTTTTTTTTTTTTTTTCCTTTTTGAGACAGTCTTGCTCTGTCTCCCAGGCTGGAGTGCAGTGGTGCTATCTTGGCTCACTGCAACCTCTGCCTCCCGGGTTTTAAGCAATTCTTCTGCCTCAGCCTCCTGCATAGCTGGGACTCTACAGGCGCATGCCACCATGCCTGACTAATTTTTGTATTTTTAGTAGAAACAGGGTTTCACTGTGTTGGCCAGGCTGGTCTCAAACTCCTGACCTCAGGTGATCCACCTGTCTTGGCCTCCCAAAGTGCTGGGATTACAGGCGTGCACCACTGCACTCGGCCTATTTTTTTTTTTTTTTTTTTGTAGAGACAGGGTTTCACCATGTTGCTCAGCCTGATCTTGGATGGGACTAAGTGGGTTTCCTTTATTGACTAAAGTGTCCTAATGTCCTCATTCACACTCTGCTCTCCCCATCAAAAACTTATACCTTTAATACTGAGTTTATACTACCCTAATGCCTCGACCTCCTCCCATTTCGCCTGTGCTTGTTCCCTCTAAGCAGCTTATCCTGAATCTAGAAGAAATCTGCTTAGGCTTAAAAGATCTCTCAGTGGCCCCACCATCTCTGTTTCCCCCTGCGTAACCTCCTGGGCTCCTTAGAGTCTGGGTCCAGCTTACAGAGATATGCTCATTTAGTGTGTCCTTACGACTGTGCCACAGATCAGCTGGGGGAAAAGAAGGCACCTTAGCCTAGTGCGTCAATTCCCAGATCCCTTATGAGGGCTTGGAAACCCAGCTCAGGCATCCAATCTTCTGCTACATAGACCCCACCTGCTCCAGCTACCCTACTTCTGTGGTACCAGTGGTTTCTTTTCCTAAGCCACATGTCTCAAATGTTCTTGTCTTGATTTTATTTACAGCCATGATCAATTTCCCTGACAAATTGAGGTGCTTTTATTTTCTCAGCACAGACCAGTGATCTGCTTAGGAGCTCATCAAGTTGATGAACCTTCCATCTGGCAGGGGCTTTGAAGGTGGCTATTGAATAGAGAGCCAGGAAGGGACTGCTATACATAGACGCTATTCCTCCTCACTCAGGGCCCCCTGCTTCCAGAATTTTTACTGCAAACAAGAAGAAACCACTATACTTTGGCAAAAACCAGTGGGACTATCTCTGGGACTGTTGGCACTGACTGTATATTGGGACTTGTGAGCCTGTTGGTGAGGGAAGGTCCTGTTCTCTTCTGATTTCTTGGCTTAGGGTTCTCTGACTGCAGATTGGGTACAATGTGCAAGTCCAGGGTCCTTGAAGCCTAAAGGATGTGTTAGGTTTGGTTAGATTTGGAAATGGGAGGGTTCATGGTGGCCCTTGCACTATTCCTCACTCAAGAGTAGAAAAACTCTGGAATAGCCTTGGCATTCTGGATCCCCTTGGGGTGGCTCTTTAGGCCCCATATTAACTCAGCTCTAGATCTCCTGATCACCTAGCCTGAGACTGTGTAGAGGAGAGGAAAAATGACCTGCCACCCCTCCTTCCCATGGGGTGAGGTAGAACCCACTGACCCTTCAGGAAAGCAGGAAGGACCCCTGCCTTCTCTGGCTCATCTTCCCATCTCACTCACCCAGCAGTAGCAGCTTGACAGTCTTGGCTTCCTTATCAGCATCTTCCTGCAGCTTCTTTTCTAGCTCCTTGGACCTCTTGGCCAGTTCTTTGTCCTCAGCACTGGCTCCACTTCCCATCTTTGCCGTCTTGTCACCTTTTTCAGGCCCCTAAACCTTTCTCGTAAGGTTTCCTGTATGTGAGACGGAGAGAAGGAAAAGAGTTGGAATTGAGTATCCCAACTTGGCTCCCCTAAAAGCTGGTCTATACAAGGTCAGGTAAGAGAGCAGGCTCTAGGGTCTTGTACTCTGCCTACATTGACTGAGACTCCCTACTCCAACTGGAGACCTACTTCTTAGTCTGGGGATTGTAGCCTTTATATCTAGCAATGTGATAGGTCAAGCCAATTAAGAGCTTTGTCAATATGGCAAGGGGTAAAGACTCAAATGTTTATGTAACTAGGGAAATGATCTGCTGGGTTCTGGGAGAAGGATAGGATGCACAACCACTTCCATCCTTTAAGGGGCTCATCCCCTGAAAGTCTCTTGCTTCCTTGGATTTATTTGCATCATAGAGCTAGAGATTACGGGCACATAGGTAGGAAGCATTCCTTATGTTGAGTCTCCAGATTATGAGGTCTTGGTTTCAAGGGCTTCAGGGTATCAAAGCATACTCGTTTACCATAGGCTGGTCCTGGCAAGGAAATTTGTTTTGGGTGGTGCCCTTCCTTGGGAAGATTAGGAATGTTTCAGGTCCCACAGTGGCTGCTGCTCCAGGAAGCTACTAGCATTGCTCCTTTGTACTGGCCCCTCTCTTTGTACTTCTGTTATTGGCACTTATCATTTCATATTGTATGTCATTTTACAAATCTTTTCCCTCACTGCATTTCTCCCCCTGGAGCTCAATGGACCAAATCTGACTCATCTTTGAACCTCTCAGAACCTGTAGTTTGTTCGTGGATCAAAAGGTTTGGTGAATGAATAAATGTAGAAAAAGGGTGTATGGTGAAGAGAATGGGGTTGCTTCCCTTCGGCCCACTAAAGCCAGCTGAGTCCCAGCTTCACTTCATAAGTGAACTTTGCTGGTATTCAGTGTGGGATTTGTGCTGCCTCACACAACAAACTCTGCTTCTTTGGGAAATTGGACTCCAGACTCTGGCTTCTCAAAGGTCGGGGCAGCTCTCTCTCCCTCTGGCTCTCATCCCAGCTGCCCTTTCCTGGGGGAAAAATGAGGGTGCGGTCTAGTAACTGCCTCACAGGCATTGAGGACTCCACAGGTTGTACTCCTCTATGCCAGTTATTTCAGTTGACTTAAATGAGTCTTGCTGGCGGAGCCTCCTCGGGTGGAGATGTTTTAGAATTTTGCTGCCCAAAATGCGGATCAAGAGCCAGCAACATCAGATCACCCAGAAGCTCATTAGACATGCAGAATCTCAGGCTTTAACCCAGAACTTCTGATTCGGAATCCGCATTTTAACAAGATCTCAGGTGACTCTAAAGACATTAAAGATTGGGAAGCACTGCCCTCGGGAACTGTTTTCCCCTCAACTTGCCTAATCCTAAGAATCAGCTGGGTTGCTGGTTTCTGTGTGTCTTCAAGTCTTAGGTGCCACTGACTAGAAGATCACCCTGCTTTCTGAGATGTTAAAATAGTGTACATGTTTTTAAAGGGTATGTTAGAATCAAACTCCAGAGCCAGAGAAAATATTTTAAGCTAATACAGGTAGTTATTACGCCTGTGGAGTTTGAAAAACCCTGCCCTGAAACAGTTCTCAACTTTTAGTGTACAGTAGCATTTACCTGGAGTGCTTTTTAAAAAATACTGATTAAATTGGTCTGGAGTGCAGTCCAGGCACAAGAATTTAAAAACATCCCCAGCTGATTCTAGCGTACAGCCAAGGTGGAGAACTGAGCTCGAAGGATGTAATTTGCTCTTTCATTTGAGAGCTGGACTTGTGCAGCAGTGGCCAGTTGGGACTGGGATGGTCAGGAGTAGAATCTAGGTCTCCCCACCTATCAGGTACCCTGAGCCATAGCTAATTATCTTCCTCCTTCACACCACCTTTCAGCGACTGTACGGGCTGATGGAGAAATAGGCAGCTGCTGAGGGGCTTTCCGTGGTAGCCATGTTTTCCCATCAAATTGGCAAGTGCTTATTGATCTAAGGGAAAACAGGAGAGTCTCTTTGAAATTGTGACTATCTTGGAATCTTCATTATAAGGTTTCAGTAATGATACCCCACTGCCAGACGTGCTGTAGCCTACCCACAATACCGGTAACTCACACTGAGGCCAGAGCTATGCTGAAGGCTACACTGTTCAAGGGGCTGCCTGGAACTATTAATAATTATTATGTTATAGTTATTATAATAACTGCTGAACAATGTAAGTGGCTCATAACAGTTAATTCTCACAATAACTGCTATCATCCCCAATTTACAGACTAGATTAACAGAGACTTGAGAGTTAAGTAACTCATTTAAAGTCGGCTGGGCACAGTGGCTCATGCCTGTAATCCCAGCACTTTGGGAGGCTGAGGTGGGCGGATCACCTGAGGTCAGGAGTTCCTAGCCAACACGGTGAAACCCTGTATCTACTAAAACTACAAAAATTAGGCCGGGAGTGGTGGCTCATGCCTGTAATTCCAACACTTTAAGAGGCCGAAACGGGCAGATCATCTGAGGTCAGGAGTTTGAGACAGCCTGGTCAACATGGTGAAACCCTATCTCTACTTTAAAAAAAAATACAAAAATTAGCCGGGCATGGTGGCAGGCACCTGTAATCCCAGCTACTTGGGAGGCTGAGGCAGGAGAATCACTTGAACCCAGGAGGCGCTGCACTCCAGCCTGGATGACAGAACAAGATTCTGTCTAAAAAAAAAAAAAAAAAAAAGCCCAGCATGGTGGCATACATCCAGCTGCTTGGGAGATAGAGGCACGAGAATCGCTTGAACCCGGGAGGCGGAGGTTGCAGTGAGCCGAGATTGCACCACTGCACTCCAGCCTGGGCGACAGAGTGAGACTCTGTTTCAAAAACAAAAAAACGAAGTTATATGTCCTAGTGAACAGACAAACCAGTGATCCTTCTTTCTATTACTCCCACATAAGTAGCCAGAGAGAGAAAGCATGGGCAAATGCATGAACTCGATAACAGCAGCCCTTGTTAAAGGAACCACTAACTTGTTTCACACACAGGGAAAGTGGGCTCGTTCCTTTTTCTACTGCTACCTCTGCAAACTTCTGTGCTGCTTCTGCTTTGTTCCCTAACCTACTGGGTGGAAGTTCCCCATTCTCACTGGAAAGCTGAGAGAGGGAACTGCTAGCCCTCGCCTGGCCTGAGAACACAGATCCATTACTGTGCATACATCATCCTGATGCCCGTGACCTCCTGCCTCTGCCTCTGTTGTCAACTCTGTGCCTTTGTTGTAGCTGTTCCACTTTATGATCACATTTAGGGACAGTTTCCTGATGAAGTAAGTAAGGTATGTAGTGCTATTTCCATTTTTGAGGTGAGTGAACTGAAGTACAGAAAAGTGATCCTCACATTAATAAGCAAGGTAGTATCAGAAGCCAAGCCAGAGCTCAGTTGTTTTGATTCACAGCCCTTTATAACCATATCATCTTGGATGAAAAGTAAATCACTGTTTCTCAGTGATTTGGGCATGTTTCCTGAGTTAAGGGATCTGTCTGACATCCGTGGTAAGCCTTGTCTTAAGTGAACTGTGGGTAAAGACTTGTCCCAGATGGAGTGGGAGGATATGAAGGATGAGAACTACCTTCAGGACCTTCCAGTCCATAGGCAGAGGTGGGGGAAATTCACAGAGAAACAAATTAGTGAAAGGGATACTGCAGTAGTGCTGGGAAATTCAGAGCTGTTTAAGACCTAGCATTCACCCCTGGTAGGAAAGGCAATTAAACACACAGCTGACTGTCTGACAAGTTCTATGGCAGAAGAAAGAAAAGGGTGATTGTGAAATGAACAGACTTTCCACAGAGAAGCAGAACAACAGTGGAAATGGGAGATTAGTGTTTTGGGGAAAGGAAAGAGCATGAAAAAACAGGTAGAGGTACAAGGTACAAGGTGTGCTCAGAGAAGACCTGGACTTTGATGTGACTGGACTGGAGTGAAAGGTGCATGGAGTGGAGGGCTGGGAGGTGAAGATAAGGACAAGAAAGGGAAATTGGAGCCAGCCAGTGAAGCGCCTTCAATGGCAAGGGGTTTGGCTAAAATCCACTGGGGTCTTATAAACAAGTACAGATGGAAACAGCTGCATGGTGCTATAAACACAATGCTGGGTGACTGAGGTAGGGGGTAGAGGGAGCTGGCTGCTAGGAGAAGCTAAGAAAGCAGAGCTGAACAGCTTGTTTCTAGAAGGGCCTAGGCATAAGGTATGGTTTGGGAAATTGCCCTGGCCAAGGACCTTTTTGGAGATGCAGATATTCTCTCCCAAGTTTAGTATCTGTGAAGATTGTTCTGGCCTAGCTAGGGAGGCTGACATCACAGTGAGCTGAAGTCCAGAAGTAAGGAAAAGCAGTTCTTCAGAGAAACAGGAGTGCACCATCGTTAGGGAGCTGGGATTCCAGGAGGGTCAGTTAAGGAGCCATGTGGGGAACAGGCTAGGAGGGGAGGAAGCTGTGTTTGGAGCTAGGGAAGATCCCAGAGGCTCAAAAGCAATGTTAAGGCCTCAGTGTGAAAAAAGCCCAGGCCATAGGATGACTCAGGCCTTTATTTCCCAAGCTCTATTCTGCATAGACAATGAAACCTCACTGTGATTCTTGCTGGTATTGAGTGGGTGGAGGGACTGATGCTTAACTGTAATCAGGGCCGACTTCCTAGCAGCGACAATACACCAGATGACCTGGAAATAGGGGAGGGTTGTAGAGTGAGGGGTGTGTTGCAGATCGGACTAGGGGACTAGCATAAAGGGACTAATGAACTGGTTTGCCTGGGCTGGGTGGAGGGCAAGGATTGCCACCTATTGGCTGCTGAGGTAGGTAGGTCTGCATTAAGCAGGAGGCTCAAGAGGCCTGGCCCAATGCAAGATACTATCTTTAAAACTATGTCAACATTTGCATCTTATCAGAAGATACATGACATTCTATGTAGTTACATGGTGCTTGATTTTTGAGATTCATTTTATTCATTCTTGAGAGTCCATCAGCCTCAAAATCCCTAAGGGCCCCAAGACCAATTCAGTGGGCCATAAATGTAAACAGAATAGTTTAAGTCTGGGGTTAAGACCCAGGGAAGTCTGGGTTGGGGGGACTGTGGAGTCAATTATGGATTTTTACCGATTTTTGTTGATTTCTAGTCCCTTGATTATAAAAGTTATGGGTATGTATTATAATTTTCGAAATGCAAATAAATAAAATATAACCCATAATTCTACCACTACAGATAATCATTGGTAAACTTGTTGGTGTGTTTCTTTTCTACCCATGTATATCACATAAGTAGGACCATTCTGTATATAGTGTTTTGCATCCATTCTTTTACCTAACTTTATATTGTAAACATTTCCACATCATTAAACATTTCTCCAAGAACAATTTTTAATGGCTGTATTTCATGGTATGAATCTTCCATAAACATTCCCCTACTGTTGGGCCTTTAAAGTGTCTAACTTTCCTACGCAATACACATTGTGGTGCTGAGCAACTTTTTGCATACATATTTTTCTGGCAGCTCTTTTTAGAAAAACTCCAGAAAATTGATTACTGGGTCAAATAATAAGAACCTTTTTGAAACTTTTGATTATATATTACCAGATGGCTTTCAGAGAGATTATATCAGTGTTCAAGGCCACCAGTAATGTGTGTGCACAAGTACGTGTGTGTGTGTCTCCCATCTCACTAACTATACCCTTGCCACCTGCATTAGTGTTTGTTTTTTTGTTTTTTAGTCTTTGCTATTTTGATAGGTAAACCTGGTTATCTCTGTTCGCTTTTTAGTTTTATGGATTCTGTGTGAGGTGAAGAGGCCAAGTTTTTTTAAGTTTGTTCAGGGAACAGTAGACAGGGATCAATGGAAGTGGCACCAGATGCAGGTGGAACACAGGGTTCAAAGTCCAGAATCCAGCGTGGGGAGAGAAGAGGCAGGCAGAGTTTGGGAAGGAACTCTGCTGTAGGGGTGGTGAGAACTGGGAGGAGCCAGACAAACAGCATTAGAACAACTGGGTTTGGGGGGCAAAGGCCTCCCACAAGAGGGAAAATAGGGAAGAGATTAATTCCTGCTAATGCATTTAATTATATTCAGTGAAGTCTTAGGGACTTCCCTCCACAAGTTCCCTTTAGGTCGGATTTTCTACCCCTTGGCAGTGGGGATGCTTGTTGGATAGGATGTCTGCAGACCCCAGAACGGCTGCAAGTGAATCAACCTGTGAGTGTCAATAGAGAACCAAGGCCAACGCTAAAGCAATGGTAATAATAAAAAAGTGCTAACTACAGGCCAGGCACAGTTCTAAGCAGTTAACTTATATTAACTCATTCATCTTAACCACCATATAAAGCAGGTACTCTTACACTCATTTTACGGAAGAAACAGAAGCACAGAGAAGTTAGGTAACTTGCCCAGTATCAGTCAGGAAATAGGTGAAATCTGGATTTGAACGCAGACATTCTGGCTAGAGTTAAAGCTCTTAACCACCAAATACAGAAATGTGGGAAGGGGAGCCAGAATTGCAGGGCACAGCCTCCTACCTATGCCGGCCGGAAGAAAACAGACGACCAGGTGAGATTGCAGGGGCAGGACTTCTGCTTAAAATGAATCCTGGGACGATAACAACAGCTACCTTTCATTGGGCCCTGACTTCGTGCCAGGCACTGTGTAAAGGGACTTTACGTTTAATCTTCACAGTAACCCCTTTGAGTGAGGTACTGTCATTACCCCATCTTACGGATGAGGAAGCTGACGCACGAAACTGGCCCAAGATCAAGGGTCAGCTCAGGCCAGCCCTACCGCGGTGTGGCGGCTGCCCACGTGGCGCCCAGGAAGAGAAAAAAATGGCGAGGCGGGGTCGGCAGGCGGAGGCGGGGCCAGGCGGGGGCGGGGCCAAGGGCCGCAGAGCCTGGCGCGGAGCCGGCGAGATTTTCGTGGGGTCGCACCTGTTGCGTGACTCCCCCACAGTCCGGCCGCGGGAGTCCGACCCTGAATGCCCAGGGAGTGTTGAGAGAAACCTGGACGAGTTCCGGGTCCCGCTCCCTTGGGAGCACGTGGCCTACCCGTCTCTCGATTGCGATTGCGGGGTTGGGTGGTCGCGACACCGGGGTCGCCTTGAGGCCAGTCTGGCTGCCGAGATCTGCGGGAGTCCACCTCCGGCCAGCTGGCAATTTTGAAAGACTGCCTTACTTTCCCCATCTCAGTGCCAGGGCAGGGGCCCTTGGAGTGACTTGGCCGGAGTCTGGGGCCCGACCACCCTGCCCTCTCTCAGGACCCGGGCTTTCTGCTGTGCAGACCCTCGTGGGCAGCCTCCCCTCGGAACTCGGACAGCATGGCTTCAGGTGAGTGTGTGTACGTGTGTTGGAGGGAGGGTCTCTGGGACAGAGAAGTGCTGTG